CGATAGTGGCGGTGGGAGACACATAAACATGGAGGCCATCTTTCATGAGAGGGTGAATGAGTCTTTTGCCTTCCCTTACAGAAGGTGGGGATTGAGGTTAAAAAGAGACGAAGCGAGAGGAAAGAAAGGCGGCTGGCATGGAAGCTTGCCTGACAGTGAAACTTTGCTGTTTCAGTTCCTTGGGTAGTTCAAAGGCTGGGATTTCTACAAAAATCTCTGTTTAGTCTTTTATACTTTATATTCAAACTGCAGAGGGGAAGAATAAGAATAAAGCCAAGGTCTTGTGATTTGAAGGTATTATTATTATTAATATATATTAATTATGTATTGGTCAGATGTAAAGGTAGACCTATAGTATGAGGTTTAATCAAATCTATTTATTAAATTGGGTTTAACTTAAAGTTAAATTAAAAGTAATCTGTTCACTGACAATGTTTCAACTTTAATTTGTTTCAAGTCAATATCCATATTAAACTCCAAATGTAAATTTTTCCACCTTGTTTGACAACTTGTTAAAAATAATTCAATCTTTTACAAGCAACCAAATTTTGTTTTATTGGGCCAATTTCATTCCACATAGAAAGCTGACTTTTCCCCTCATTAAACTAAATGGATATGCCAGTGGTAAATGTCCCAAAAGATTAATAAAATGCCTTCTTGTAATTTAAAGCCACACAGTGCATGGTAACATTAATAGCATTAACTTACCTTGAACAAAATCCTAGTTTTTTAGATACACTAAAAATTGAAGGGTTTTTTTTTTTCAACTACAAAGGTAAACCTTGTAGGGTAGGCAAGGTGGGTTGTATGATGTGTGTAAGTTCCGGAACCTTTTTTTTTTTTTTTTTTTTTTTTTACAAAAAAAGCACTGGCTAAAACATTTTGTATAAAAATGCATGCATTAATTCAGAAATTCTTAAAAGTTAAAGTACAACTGAAACCAGAGACTCTTCTTTTGGGACTAATGGATAAACAACCAGAAAAATAATAATGGGACTTTGTTTTTATATATGACAACTGGAGCAAAATTATTATATGCTGAAAAATGGAAAGACCTGATACTACCTACAACAGAGGAATGGTTGGTGAAGTTGATAAAATTAAAAGCAAAGATAACTAAATTAACTTCTTCAATTAGAAAAAAAACAATGTCTACATTTATGGTCAACTGGAAAACCCTTATAGATTTTTTGCATGAAACAGAAAAAATGCACTTGTGATTTTGATGATTAGGGGAAAAAAGATAATAGAGAAAAGTGAGAGTTTTTTTAATAATTTAAAATAAGGGATAATTTTGTAAATTTCCTTCCTTCCTTCCTTCCTTCCTTCCTTCCTTCCTTCCTTCCTTCCTTCCTTCCTTCCTTCCTTCCCTTGTTGTGCATTTTTACATGTTTTATAAAACGTTAATTAAAATTATTTTAAAGGCGTATTAGAACATCTTAATTGGAGAGCTTCTAGACTGAACTCAAAGTGCTACTATGAAACATTGTCCTAATGGTTCCACCCCCCCATGCTAGTCTTAGATAGTAACTTTAACTGTGGGGTTGTAAAAATTACTCTTTTAAAGGGTAGGTCACATCTTTAGTTCATAGATTACTTGGACGACTTGACTCTATAATTTACAAGAGTCCTTTAGAACGAACGAAAAATATTGTCTAAATAAAGATAATATATTTTAGATTATAAGAGGATGGTAAAGGTTTATAAAATCCGGTGAAAAAAGCTCTGTTTTTTGTGGGATAATTACATTTATATTTCTTACTCTAGTATAATTTTTGAGAGTACTTGTTTAAGCTGGGTATTTGATAGTATTTATTGATACATGAAACAAATTAGAAGATTGCCAAAAGTAGTTATGTTGACCAGGAAAATAAGTTCAATGACCTGCAGGTAAACAAGTCATATGTTGAGAATTCCTTTTGGTCAAAGAAAGAAATAGTAGGTAGTTAACCTTATTTATATCGTAAGTTATTTCATTGGCAATTAAACAGATATACATGTCCACAACCAGGCAGCCATGAGAGCTACATAATTGTTCTACATTTTATTCTACCCATTTAGAACAAGAAAGCAATAACAGTGTCCAAATTCTATTGGAAATGTTTATTTATGTACTTACTTACTTACTTACTTACTTACTTATTTATTTAGGCTTATAAGCTTATAAACTAACTACAATAAGGAATGAGTGTGTGCAGTTTAAAAATTCTAGATAATAAATAAATCCCTAGAAAATAAATAAATACCCAGTAAATTATAACTCTTTCATTTTACAGATCACTGTTGCTCAGTGAATGTGCTAATACTGATTAAACAGATCATTTTGAAATCAAATCTTTATGTTATGCCAAGGGTGTCCCTAAAGTCACTTTCATATAAGAACTATAGTTAGTGGTAACTTCTCCTTATGTTCAATATTATAAAGAGAGGAAGAGACATCTTAAAGTAGATTCTCCTCTGCTCATTCTCCTCATTCATATATTACCTATTCAGTAATATTATAACTGAATAGCCAAAAAGCTTCTCTTTAAGAAAGCACAATATCTTTTTAATGTAGTAGTTCATTTTATTTTATTTTAATGGCTCCTTTAATGGCATTCTATATGTTTTATGAGGCACCAGTAACAATTACCCAGAAGGTAAAACAAAAACAAAATACAGCATCATTTTTATAATACATAATATCAGTATGTGCTGGAAGGTTTAAAAATGATCCCTTCATCATTATTCAAATTGCCACTTTCCTATAAAATGATATTATAGTCATTTTCCCTCATTTTCACATATCTGAGAAAACTCTTGTTAGAATTGTAAAAAAGATAGGAGGATCTTGATTACTTCTTATAGTTTTTTGATGTTAATAATAACTTATTTGAATGATTTATGCCAGTTTACTTTTTTCCTAATCAGAAACTACATGCCTGTAATGTTTCTACATTTCTAAAACAGACAAAAATTAGAAAGTATAACATACAGGAAGTGTCCATCTCTAAATTTCATTTAAAATTGGCTTAATCCATTAGGAATTTTGGATGAAGTGAATATTGCCTAGATGCCATTTTTACTCTTTGAATATGGTTTGAACTTGTTTAACATCTTCAGTATGAGTGGGAAAAATGTTTTGGATTCTAAGCATTTTTAGCTCAAAGCAGGTTGTTCTGACCTTGTTAAATGTGTTCTGACGCTGTCCTGACCATTCCAGAAATGCTCAGACTGTCCATTGTGTTTGAAATTGGTCTTATGGATACAAAACAAGCATACTCTCGGCACTTTTGAAGCGTTTTATGATTAGTGTACTTGGGGTAGGGACAGAATGTTGTTCCAAATTTGAAAACTACTGCATACCACTACCCTTTAAATGTATTAGAAACGATCATATGGGTATTATTTCAATAATATAATAATAATATCTGCCCTGCAGAAATGGAGGCAGAGGTTTAGTTCAAGTTAAACAAATGGTTGAAGAAGAAAAGTACGCATTGGCTGATTACATAAAAGACAGCCAAGGACATGCATTGATACAAATTGGAACTTACTGAAAGTGCAGGAAATAAAACATGAATATCAAAGCAACATAGTAAAAACAAGAACAGAATGCTGGCAAGGAAAAGTACTGCATGATCAATTTCTAAAAAAAGATCAAAGAGAAAGTGGATAAAGATAAAATCTGGCAATGGTTCACAACTGGAATATTAAAAAAAGAAGCCGAAGGCTTGACTGATTTGAATAATACAATCCCAGCTAAATTTGCAGTTTACAGTAAGTCAGCATCAATTCTACAAAAACCCTTGAAAATAGAAAAGAATCAAAAATTTGACAAGGACAGGTAATATAGATCAATCTTGGATTACACTGTAAACAATTCCTCTAACTTCCATATTTGAGAATAAAGATCTTTCCTGTTTTCTGTTTTTTAATCATTTATGTGATCCTTAATAAAAATTATAGCTGCATGATGAACATATGATGCCATCCCAACAGGGTTTAGAGGTCACTACTGGGAGAGCTTTTAATTTTTGTAATTAAAATGGCCATTCTTGAGGCCATATAACATGCATGCAAACAATATAATATATCAATTTCACAAATTTTAATAATATCAGGGTTATACTTACACTATTAAGATAAGTGGATACATATTTCGATCTGAGAAATCCTTTGGAAATGTTAACTGTAAAGGAAGTTCTTTTAAGAAAAGAGCAAAACATTAAAGGCTGGTAGTTTGAAAGATGAATTAAAAATACTATTTGAAAACATATTGGCTTTTCCAAAATTTTCTAGTATATTTACCATAGTCATCAATGTGAAGCATTCTAGTTTCTGTTCGTAGTTTTTTTCTCATTGAAACTGCTTCTTTTAAAACAGAGTTGTTTTCTAAAATATAAAACTCTGTAAAATAAAAAGGTAAAAAAGGAACCAATGTACATGTATGCTTAGTTGGATGAAAATTTTAAAATACAATTTATATGTAGATACAATCCATATTTTTATAGAACAATGTTTAGAAAGGCACATTTAAAGTAAAATAAATATGGATTTACTGCATAAGCACACATATTATATATAGATAGATACATTTCACTTATCTTTTCCATTAGTATTTATTAAGTATTCTTTCAGTTTGAAACACTTGGAGAACGTAAAGGAAAAACTTCCTGCCATATTTTAGATGTGACTCAACTAGATTTTAATTACTGAGCCTTTGTGACCAGATTCAATGGCAAGTACAGCTGTCATTTCAGCCTGCATTTCCAATAAAATTGGAAGTCCCTAAACTAAAAGATGCATGGGCCTAACTATATGGAATCAGCATTTTTCTTCTGTGATTGATTTTGCTATGCTCTGTTAAATGCAAGGATAATCTTCACATGTTCAATCAATGTTTATTCTCATAAATGGCATCTAATGTATACAGCCCTTTTTATAGGCCTTTGGCTTTGTATATATGGTCTTAAAGGTGAACTCAGCAGAACAAATGGTTTAGTCCATACTGCATCCAAATAATGTACCATATAATTTTCTTCCACATATGCAGTGCTTTTTTTCTAAAAAAAAAAAAAAAGGTGCCGGAACTCACATACATCATACAACCCGCCTTGCCTACCCTAGAAGGTTCCATCCCAAAAAGGTGCCGGAACTCTGTTCTGGGTGTTCTATGAGAAAAAAAAGCCCTGCACATATGCAATTTGGTTTTTACATAAAGGAATCAGGTACAATAGAAGTTTATTTGTTAGAAAAAAGTGTATTCCAAGTATAAAAACAAAATTAGCAACATTTTATTTTTGGACATGCTAGGGTAATACTAATCAAAGATGAAGTTAAGAGAGATGCATTTTTCTTAAGATGAGATCCTTGATTCATCATGCAACTTCCATAGATCTCTGGAAGTGCTTTTAATACTAAAATTATATCTGGTTTATTATTATTATACTCTGGTTTCTCTTCAGATCGTATAAATCTTTCACCTTTTATTAAAATTATATCTCAAATTAAGTAAAATGGAAGACAGTTTTTGAATAACAAGTTGGTATTAGTGGATTTTGATTTATCTATTTATAAATACACATTAATTCAAAATTATCCTTCATCTATAAATCTCTAAAAAGAAATTTAAAATTACAGTTTGAACGATTACTTGCCTTTTTTAAAAAAGAGGCAGTTTCACAGTGTCAACTAAGCTGTTTTAAATACAATAATTCAACTAAAATTCAATCATATAATTGTTATTCCATTAATAGGAATGATGATCAAGTTTACATATATGTAGTATATATGTATGTATATTTCCACAATTTTCTATAGAAATAAATCTTTTCTTCTGAATTTTTATAAGCAAGAATTTGACAAAGGTTCAGCACAACACTGTTTCACTTCTAAAACTATGATTTCATTGCATAACTTACTGGCTTAGTCTATTATGTGCAAGAATATTGTGCTTTAAATCAATATACATATATGAACATTCATTTAAATTGAATTATTTCCCCAATTAAAGTGAATAATTGAATTATCCAAATAATGCATGTCTGCATAGAATGTACTGAAGTTATATATTTTGAAGATGTATTTCAAAAACATATTTTGAAAAAGTTACTTATATAGAAAACCTGTATGTGTTTAATAATAATAATAATAATAAAGTTGAAAGGGAGCTTGGAGGTCATCAAGTTCAACCCCCTGCTCAGGCAGGAAAACCTACACCATTTCGGACAGATGGCTGTCCGGTCTATATATGTGTCTTACTTGTATGTGTGCACATAAATGTGTTGAGTTGCTTAAACAGAGATTTAAGCACACATAATATTTGTATCATTAAAAAGGGATGAATTAGATAACTGGCACTCAGAAACAATTCCTTAATCCAAACTAATTGTATTAGAGCTTTAAAGTATTTTAAACCATGTATAAGAAGTACTGCAATAGGAATTCAATTTGCATAGTTATTTAAAGAGACTGTGCCACCTAATTATTGTAAGCATTAATGGGAAATAAAGGGTACTTATTAATGTAAGATCATCCTGAAAAATCCCTGATATATTATAGCTACTGTATTAATTTCACTCTGTTCTTATTGCTTACGTGCATGTTTTTTTCCCCTAAGTTGTAATTAAGATGAGGTTTAGAAATTAATTTCCTGAAGGTCTCAATTAAAAGGGAGAAAACCCACAAGGAAATCCCCAGTGAAATGGTATAACTTACTTTCAGGATTAATTGTGCTGTGCAGGCTGACAATCGGAACACCAGGACCTGTACAACACAGAAGAACAGGCACACAGAGGAAGTAAATAAAAGAAACTACCTTTGGATTCCTCAACTTAAAAAAACTAAAGCAAAACATACATTATTCTAACACATAGTTTTCAAAACTACTACTGCATATGCTTTAATACATAGCATATGAACGATCCCATTAATGCCAAGGCAAAAGCATAATCTACTGGGAAATAATAAATGTGTGATCATTATTATCTTCGTTTCAATTTTATAGCAGAGAAATTGACACACAGAGCGATTAATAGCCTGATTATATAAAGCACAGAGTACCTGCAGCTACTATTAAATCAAAGAGAGAATAGGGAACATGCAGACTTTGCAAAGTCATTTGGAGGCCATTAGAAAACTGAATGGAAATCTCAGAAGAAATGTATCCAAACTTCTTGTAGCTTTGATTCAGTGTACAGATAAGAGTGCCCTAGTAAAGAGGGTACCTGATTTCATAGAATAATAGACATGGAAGGGGGCCTTTCAGGATGTCAAATCTGTCCTCTCCCTGCTCAATGCAGTAATTCAAATTAAAACATCCTTGCTTCTACTACTTGAACACACTGGTGAAAGAGTCTGCCCTATTATTATTATTATTTCTCCTCCTTTTCCTCCTCTTATAGTATTTCACTTTCCAATGTCTTTAGAAATGTTTTCTTTAGAAAACTGTGGATTGTGAAATAACTGTAGCAATAAATAAGTAAGTAAATAAATATCTGTGTATGTAGTTCGTTCTCCTTCAACCCCCATAACCTTCCTGGGCATCTTACTAATGCTAACAAGAATGTTATTTCTGTCACTGATTGACAAATGAAATCATGCAGCTATCCAGGCTTTTGGCTGGTGTAATTTGATTGCAGGAAAGCACATTGAAGAAATGAGTGATATCCTCCTAAATAGTTTAATTAACTAGTGAATACAAGTTTAGTACATCTTTTACACCATTACTTCTAGTGATCCCTCTCCCTTGGTTCATTATTTCATAGAGCATTCTATCATAGGAATGATCGAATTAGTACAAAATTTAAATTGTCCAGCAAGGTAATTTTCATGTGTAAGAGACACAACAAATGTATAATGCCACAGTTGAGATTTTGTAACTATTATAATGATGTAAACTATTTTTATTTGTAATAAAGTTATCACCGAGATACATTAATTTTTTGATGTTCAAAAACATTTCATTTTTTAAAAAATAAGTGTAATAACTGTACAGTGAGAGCCTGGCTTACCCTTACACTGTAGAATGAAATACTTGATTGAAGGACTAAACTTTGCATTAAAATATGTACAACGATCTTTCATAAAACTGCATGAGAGACATTGACGATTCAGCAATTCAGTTGTTGACACACTAAGGCAGTAAAAAAAATTGATCAAGCACAAGAAAACCTGCAGCTAATATTCACTGCAAATATATTATTATCAGCAAAAAAATCTTTGGTTTTAATTGTCAATATTTCAGATACTACAACAAGTCCTCAACCTATGACCAAAATTGACCTCAAAATTTATGTTACTAAGTAAGACAGCTAAGTGAGTTTTGACCCATTTTACGACCTTTCTTGCCACTGTTGTTAAGTGAATCATTGCAGTTGTTAAGTTAGTAACATAGTTGTTAAGTGAATCTGGCTTTCCCATTGACCTTGTTTGTCAGAGGGTCACAAAAGGTAAACCCATGACCCCAGGACACTGCAACCATCATAAATATGAACCAATTGCCAAGCATCCAAATATTGATTAAGTCACCATGGGGATACTACAATTGTCATAAGAATGAAAAACAGTCATAAGTCACTTTTTTCAGTGCCACTGTAACTTTGAACGGTCACTAAACAAACAGTTGTAAGTCAAGGACTACCTGTACTGGACAGGACTACATTATTTCTTTTTTCAAACTTCCTCCCTATGTATCACCACATTTTTCTCTAGCAAAGGAATGCAGTGGGGAATGGAGGATGTGGAAATACATGTTTGTGAATACCAGGCTCATGATAAAAGAGAACAACACTGACTATAACTTCATTTTTATTACTTCTATTTCCTTGATATTTTCCAATGCATATAAAATGCTAACTAGGCTTAGTATTATACTGGGAAAGATGTATTTGAGTGATTATCTACCTGTCACAATATATATTGTTCCTATGAAATTTGCTTCTTTTATAAAACCACAGATTCATGTAGAATTTCTAAGGTATGCATGGGATCTCTTTTGACATTTAAGTTAATAGCTTTTTGTAAACAAAGCGACACAGCCCTGTCAATCATTTAGGAATCATACTGTGCTCGATCTNAAAAAAAAAAAAAAAAAAAAAGGTGCCGGAACTCACACACATCATACAACCCGCCTTGCCTACCCTAAAAGGTTCCATCCCAAAAAGGTGCCGGAACTCCGTTCTGGGCGTTCTATGAGAAAAAAAGCCCTGCACATATGCAATTTGGTTTTTACATAAAGGAATCAGGTACAATAGAAGTTTATTTGTTAGAGAAAAGTCTATTCCAAGTATAAAAACAAAATTAGCAACATTTTATTTTTGGACATGCTAGGGTAATACTAGTCAAAGATGAAGTTAAGAGAGATGCATTTTTCTTAAGATGAGATCCTTGATTCATCATGCAACTTCCATAGATCTCTGGAAGTGCTTTTAATACTAAAATTATATCTGGCTTATTATTATTATACTCTGGTTTCTCTTCAGATCGTATAAATCTTTCACCTTTTATTAAAATTATATCTCAAATTAAGTAAAATGGAAGACAGTTTTTGAATAACAAGTTAGTGGATTTTGATTTATCTATTTATAAATACACATTAATTCAAAATTATCCTTCATCTATAAATCTCTAAAAAGAAATTTAAAATTACAGTTTGAAGGATTACTTGCCTTTTTTTAAAAAAAGGGCATCAGTTGCATATGGATAGCTATGTTTCCTCTAAACAAATTTTTAAATTGGTAAACCACATCTTAATTTAATGAAATAATGAATAATCTAAGAGGCAGTTTCACAGTATCAACTAAGCTGTTTTAAATACAATAATTTGACTAAAATTCAATCATATAATTGTTATTCCATTAATAGGAATGATGATCAAGTTTACATATATGTATATATGTATATTTCCACAATTTTCTATAGAAATAAATCTTTTCTTCTGAATTTTTATAAGCAAGAATTTGACAAAGGTTCAGCACAACACTGTTTCACTTCTAAAACTATGATTTCATTGCATAACTTACTGGCTTAGTCTATTATGGGCAAGAATATTGTGCTTTAAATCAATATACATATATGAACATTCATTTAAATTGAATTATTTCCCCAATTAAAGTGAATAATTGAATTATCCAAATAATGCATGTCTGCATAGAACGTACTGAAGTTATATATTTTGAAGATGTATTTAAAAACATATTTTGAAAAAGTTACTTATATAGAAAACCTGTATGTATTTAATAATAATAATAATAATAATAATAATAATAATAATAATAATAATAATAATAATAATAATAATAATAATAATAATAATAATAATAATAATAATGAAAAAAATAAAAGTTGGAAGGGAGCTTGAAGGTCATCGAGTCCAACCCCCTGCTCAGGCAGGAAACACTGCACCATTTCGGACAGATGGCTGTCCGGTCTATATATATGTCTTACTTGTATGTGTGTACATAAATGTGTTGAGTTGCTTAAACAGAGATTTAAGCACACATAATATTTATATCATTAAAAAGGGATGAATTAGATAACTGGCACTCAGAAACAATTCCTTAATCCAAACTAATTGTATTAGAGCTTTAAAGTATTTTAAACCATATATAAGAAGTACTGCAATAGGAATTCAATTTGCATAGTTATTTAAAGAGACTGTGCCACCTAATTATTGTAAGCATTAATGGGAAATAAAGGGTACTTATTAATGTAAGATCGTCCTGAAAAATCCCTGATATATTATAGCTACTGTATTAATTTCACTCTGTTCTTATTGCTTACGTGCATGTTTTTTTTCCTAAGTTGTAATTAAGATGAGGTTTAGAAATTAATTTCCTGAAGGTCTCAATTAAAAGGGAGAAAACCCACAAGGAAATCCCCAGTGAAATGGTATAACTTACTTTCAGGATTAATTGTGCTGTGCAGGCTGACAATCGGAACACCAGGACCTGTACAACACAGAAGGACAGGCACACAGAGGAAGTAAATAAAAGAAACTACCTTTGGATTCCTCAACTTAAAAAAACTAAAGCAAAACATACATTATTCTAACACATAGTTTTCAAAACTACTACTGCATATGCTTTAATACATAGCATATGAACGATCCCATTAATGCCAAGGCAAAAGCATAATCTACTGGGAAATAATAAATGTGTGATCATTATTATCTTCGTTTCAATTTTATAGCAGAGAAATTGACACACAGAGCGATTAATAGCCTGATTATATAAAGCACAGAGTACCTGCAGCTACTATTAAATCAAAGAGAGAATAGGGAACATTCAGACTTTGCAAAGTCATTTGGAGGCCATTAGAAAACTGAATGGAAATCTCAGAAGAAATGTATCCAAACTTCTTGTAGCTTTGATTCAGTGTACAGATAAGAGTGCCCTAGTAAAGAGGGTACCTGATTTCATAGAATAATAGACATGGAAAGGGGCCTTTCAGGATGTCAAATCTGTCCTCCCCCTGCTCAGTGCAGTAATTCAGATTAAAACATCCTTGCTTCTACTACTTGAACATACTGGTGAAAGAGTCCGCCCTATTATTATTATTTCTCCTCCTTTTCCTCCTCTTATAGTATTTCACTTTCCAATGTCTTTAGAAATGTTTTCTTTAGAACTGTGGATTGTGAAATAACTGTAGCAATAAATAAGTAAGTAAATAAATATCTGTGTATGTAGTTCATTCTCCTTCAACCCCCATAACCTTCCTGGGCATCTTACTAATGCTAACAAGAATGTTATTTCTGTCACTGATTGACAAATGAAATCATGCAGCTATCCAGGCTTTTGGCTGGTGTAATTTGATTGCAGGAAAGCACATTGAAGAAATGAGTGACATCCTCCTAAATAGTTTAATTAACTAGTGAATACAAGTTTAGTACATCTTTTACACCATTACTTCTAGTGATCCCTCTCCCTTGGTTCATTATTTCATAGAGCATTCTATCATAGGAATGATCAAATTAGTACAAAATTTAAATTGTCCAGTAAGGTAATTTTCATGTGTAAGAGACACAACAAATGTATAATGCCACAGTTGAGATTTTGTAACTATTATAATGATGTAAACTATTTTTATTTGTAATAAAGTTATCACCGAGATACATTAATTTTTTGATGTTCAAAAACATTTCATTTTTTTTAAAAAAAGTGTAATAACTGTACAGTGAGAGCCTGGCTTACCCTTACACTGTAGAATGAAATACTTGATTGAAGGACTAAACTTTGCATTAAAATATGTACAACGATCTTTCATAAAACTGCATGAGAGACATTGACGATTCAGCAATTCAGTTGTTGACACACTAAGGCAGTAAAAAAAATTGATCAAGCACAAGAAAACCTGCAGCTAATATTCACTGCAAATATATTATTATCAGCAAAAAAATCTTTGGTTTTAATTGTCAATATTTCAAACACTACAACAAGTCCTCAACCTACGACCAAAATTGACCTCAAAATTTATGTTACTAAGTAAGACAGCTAAGTGAGTTTTGACCCATTTTACGACCTTTCTTGCCACTGTTGTTAAGTGAATCATTGCAGTTGTTAAGTTAGTAACATAGTTGTTAAGTGAATCTGGCTTTCCCATTGACCTTGTTTGTCAGAGGGTCACAAAAGGTGAACCCATGACCCCAGGACACTGCAACCATCATAAATATGAACCAATTGCCAAGCATCCAAATATTGATTAAGTCACCATGGGGATACTGCAATGGTCATAAGAATGAAAAACAGTCATAAGTCACTTTTTTCAGTGCCACTGTAACTTTGAACGGTCACTAAACAAACAGTTGTAAGTCAAGGACTACCTGTACTGGACAGGACTACATTGTTTCTTTTTTCAAACTTCCTCCCTATGTATCACCACATTTTTCTCTAGCAAAGGAATGCAGTGGGGAATGGAGAATGTGGAAATACATGTTTGTGAATACCAGGCTCATGATAAAAGAGAACAACACTGACTATAACTTCATTTTTATTACTTCTATTTCCTTGATATTTTCCAATGCATATAAAATGCTAACTAGGCTTAGTATTATGCTGTCTTTCTACATAAACTCACTAATAGATGGACAGTGTTATATATAACAAGGATACTTTAAACGAAGAAAATATTTTGGTGTCTAAGTACATCTTAAAGATTCCATACGTACCCTAGAGAAAACTGTAAATTCAATTATCGAAAAACATTTGTTTCGCTGTGTCGGGACAGTTAGTAAATCCTTAGTATGACACGAGCTAGAGCTTACCTATGTAATTGTCTTCCTCTTGGTGAATTTTCAGTACTTAAAAAATAACTGGCAAAATGAGAAAAAATACCTTCAGCCCAGGTGAATATGTACTAATTTGCTGTAGATAATAAACATAATGAACATCAGACCTAAGGATTTCATTTATATAGGAGAAGGGCAGGTTCATTCTTACCATTAGATAGATTCAAGTGGCTATCCACAAAACATCTTGAGATTGGCTTATTTCTTTACATTGCTCCTAATCTTTCATTAGTAAAGAAGCTTTTCAATTCTAGACTTATTTTCCCCTTTCAGAATAAGATATCCAATTCATTTTTTGAGGCCATAATATGGTTTTATCATCATGAACAAATTACCTCGGCATTCATGTTGACTAGAATGTGTCCTCAGGTGATTAAGAAGGAAACTTAAGAATTAGTACACCTGGCTTTGTAAAAAATAAAATTGGATTATCGCACATGCTATGCTCTATGCAGATGGAGCTTAATTAGTGATTAAAACACTTGTTTTATCAGAGGTTTTGCTGTTTTGTGTTCAGAAGAGATTGTCTGCCTCAATTCTGCCAGTTTAAAAAGGAGAAGAAAATTAACTAATGATCAGGCAGAATAACTGATCTTGTTCTGAGAAAAAAAAATGCAGGTATTCAAAGTACCCATCTTGTCTGTATTAAAGACAACAGAGATATTAAAAGACAACAGAGACTTTACCTCATTCTCATACTAGGCACCAATAACTAAATATCTGTTAAATTGGAAAATGGCTTAGACATTTCAACACTTCTACATATTTAAATGAAATCCTTTATAAATTCCATCACATTCAACAAGGTTTATTTCTATGCAATGCAGAATTGATGTCTTAACAAAGGCAATTAACAATAAATGATCTTTTTCATGAGTTTCTGAGAAATCCTTTATGTTAATAGTACTTGGAAGCACATCCATTTACAACCTAAGAAAAACTAGCAAGAACCGTTCCTTATTATTCTTGAAGATAAGCAGATTTTAAAATGGGAGATCCAAAGGTGAAAATGTATTTACTTTTTAAATCCTAATGATTTGATTACTTAAGATTCTAAAGCAAGACCACTTGGAAATATTGTCGCCTAACCCAGTGTTTGAATTTTCTTATTTCAATCAATACTTTGAAGTAGAATTTGTTATAGCCTAGCCTTATTTTAATATTCAGGAAAAGTTCCTAGAATATATCAAGAGATTAAGTATAGTTTGTACTTATGGTTTATGGCTAGTATTAATATTTAATAACAAAAGAAACATAATTAACATTGCTATACCAATAACATTGAATCTATCTTGATAACACAGATATTTTACCTGAACAGACAAAGAAAAATAATGCTCACATCTTTTGGGTATTTTCGTCATATGCCAAGATTTTTATAACTTCCCAGTTCCCTGATGTCAGATGTCGTATACTAAATTGTTCATTTTTGATCTGCAAAAAACAATACATTTAACTTTTTTTTGTCCCATGACTTTCCTTAATTGATCAAAGCGATGATTGGCAACAGGGGTTAAATTCTATGGGCCCCCTTGGTATCAGTCATGATATATAGAAGGCTGTAACTTGAAAGTAAGAGGAACGAATGAAACAAAACTCAAATTAACAAATGAAATAAAAAATAAAAAATATATATTTAGGGTTTGTAAAATTAAGAAATGAAAAATGCATGAGAAATATGGAATATATTTAGTAGGAGGTAAGATAAGGAAGTATGTTGTTAAGGTGGTGATGTCAAAATGTATTTATAGATATATTTATGAGAATTCTCATAATATTGCTTGAGATTTGTTGACTGAGAAAGGTATAGGTGTGTATTTCTGTATGCTAGTGATGCTGCAATTTTGCCTGGGAGCATGAATGATTTTCAGCAAACATTAGATATATTGTGTGGTGTAGTGAAAAATATGAATCTGAAAATTCATGAATCAAAGCTCAAGGTATTTATATTTGACAGGTAAAATGGAATGAAGGAATTAACACAAGTTTTATATAAAAAATAAGCAAAAAACTGACTTTGTATCTTGGTAAAATGTTAACTGAAGATGGGACAATGAATACACAGGCAAATGGTGGTAAAAAGATAACACATAGTATGAAGGCTATTGTGAAGAATGAATATTTGTTGAAATAATGCAAAAATGGCCTTTTATAAGAGGGTGTTTCTGGATACTGGCTTGTATGAAAATGTAAGCTGATTATGTCAGGAATATGAGAAATGTAAGTTGAATGCAATGAAAATGGGTTATTTAAGTTTGCAGTAAAATAGAGGCAGGGCCAAGAATGAATGGAACTAGACTCAATGCAAAAGTGAGTGATGAATAAAAAAGTAATATACCTGGGGCATTGGGACAGAGGTAAAAAACTCGATACAGCAGCCTAAATTGCATATAAAAAAGGGTCAGGGTTTCAATTGTATAGTTGCAGCTGTTAGTTTGACTGCTTGAGTCTCTCTTTGCACCAGGTACTTGTGAAGTACACCTAGATGGTTGAAACGTATTACAGAATGAGGATCAAACTAAAAAAAAAAACAAACCCAACTATATTTAAGAAAAGTGAATGGATTGAAAGGAAGGGAATGAGTGAGAAAGTCCTGTTTGGATGGTGATGGTGATGATGATGATACTTTCCTTAAAAAGAGAGAAGATACAAATTATAACATTTGTTTTGCTGAGCAGACACCTGTGTTAGAAAAACACTGATGTCCATACATATCCATGGGTTTTTTGGAAGGTACACGTCAACAAATATCCAACTGTTAATTTCCTTGATTTCTCAATGACAGTATATCCTATAGTAATCTACATGTCCTTAAATAGTTCACCTCAATGGGATTCAAGGAAGCAAATATTATTTTGTTAGGTCCTTTTCCCTTAATGTTTATATAGTTAAGCTGTAAATATTTCCATGAGCAAGGAACTCTATCTTGGTCTTCTGATAATGAAAATTACAGTACATAGATGCAATGTCTCAATACTTGACTCACACAATAGCATCAGCTGAAGATATTATCTACTTGGGTAATGAAACATGTTCAAAAAACAAAACAACAAAAACAAAAACAACCAATCAACGAGGACTAAGGATTCCACAGCTCATCCCTCAGCTACAAATATTCTCTTCTATTAGCATCAATTATGTTTTAGTTTGGTAAGATGAATATACCACTTGCAGGAAAATAGGAGAAAGAAGAAATAATGGTCAGCAAGAAATAATTCACAAATAATCTGTAAATGTTAAAAGCTATGCCTTCTGCTAATGAAAACAGCATCTATATTTAGCATCCACATCTGTATTAATGTCCATTGATATCAATATGAAATATACTTATGCCACTGACTTTAAACAGAATTAAACAGAGCTTGAGAACAGGGTTAAAAGTAACTCTTGTCTGTCTTTGGCTCAGATTGAATTTAAAACTGTGTGCCTGGAACTGCATCATCAAAAGCTCATAGCATCTAGTGCTTTGGATAGGAAATTTTTTAATGCATGTTCCTCATCCTAATTATTTCTTAATTTTCTTTGCAAAATTGATAACAACATTAGGGATATTAGGGGGCAATTTATTCATAGTACATCTTCATTCCAGAAAGCAGAGTAACTCTAGAACTAGTGTGATCCAGTTAGAGCTCTAGATCCCTAGCAAGATATATTCTCTCTCTCTCTCTCTCTCTCTCTCTCTCTCTCTCTCTCGCTCTCTCTCTCTCTCTCTCTCTCTCTGTGTGTGTGTGTGTGTGTGTGTGTGTGTGTGTGTGAGAGAGAGAGAGAGAGAGAGAGAGAGAGAGAGAGAGAGAGAGAGAGAGAGAGAGAGAGAGAGAGAGAGACAGGCAGACAGACAGGCAGACAGACAGACAGACAGACAGAGATGGCTGTAACATACTGGTTTGTCACATAGTGAGGGATTTATACAAGAATTCCCAAAAAATAATTGGGAGAAGGTTTTTTTTTAATAACATTCCTGTAAAAATAGCAGTGGTCAGTTTTAAACATTCCTGTAACTTAGTGTTTTAGAATATAGTGGGATGCCAACTTTCATGGCAACAATGGTAGCAAATGTCAGATTGAGAGAGGTTTTTTTGTGCAATATTTTTTGTAATGTTCACTCCTTGAACCAAACATTTACCTTCAGACAAGTGTAATATTATATAGGAAAGATAAATGTTAAAGGACTGCTAAAAGTGATCACCCAAGGCAAAGAAGGAATACTTATCCATGTATTGTTTATTGTATTTTGATTGTATATGTACTTATATCTAAGCCCAGTTAAAAAAAAATCTGTTATTCCCTGCAACACCAACCCTGTGAAGTAGGTTGAGCTGAGAGACAGTAATTTGCTCAGAGTTGCCCAGTGAGTTTCTGTGGCAGGAATCTAACTTAAGTAAAAGAAGCTTACCTGAACATTAAACATAGCAATATGGTGGAATTCACCACGACCACCTTGTTTAACTGGAACTGTCATAAAAAATGTATTGCCATCTTTAGAAAAAACTGGTTCCTCATTCTATAAAAAAAAAAATCAGAGAAAGATATTCTTGTTAAAAACTACCTCATAGATGCCATCATTTTTACGATGACACATTCAAATATTGAACACATTGAAGATAAACAATATAATATGGCATAAATATGGTTTTTATGCTTTTTGCTGTTTTTGCAATGGCTTATCATGGTGCGTAAGATGGGTGGCTACAGATGTCTTCTAAATGAATAAAGGGTCAAGATAATAAAGCACCAAAATAATTCAAGAGGCTATTCCGTTACTCAGAAATCTTTTTCTTTTCCTAAATAGCAATTTTAAACTGCTTCTTTGTGCCTTCAGGTTAATGTATGGATGGCTTAAGGTAAGCAGAGAACAGAGTTCATATTCCCTGACCTCCATGCATTCTGACAGAGATCCAAAGGGAAACTGAACTTGCCTTCACAGGGACACAAGAAGGCTTTCTATGCAAGCTGGCTCCGGGAACATTCAGAGAGACCTCCTCACCTTATAGGAAATGCAAGTACAGGTCTCCTGACCTCCAGACAATTACTTAAAGAGGGCTAACCTCCTGGAATCCAGGACAGCTTTTTACAGTGAAATATAATTGCCATTAAACTTACACGACACTTCTGTCTTCCAGTAAGTTACTAGTGTGAATCATTGGCTATGTCTGTATTTTCTTAGGGGTTGTGGATATCTGAAAATACAAATATAGTCCATGATAATTACTTCACACTTGTATGCATGTGTGTGCGCGTGTGAGTGTGTGTATGAGAGAGAGAGCGAGCAGGTTGCCATACTAGTTCCAGTGGAAGAGGCTTTTGACTCTTTTGACTGGTGAGGTCTAGGAGAAGAGCCTTTTCTTCCGTGGCCCCTCCTCTCTCCCCCATTAGAGGTGAGATCTTCCCCCACACTCCTGGCCTCTGGAAGAGCCTGAAAACCTGGCTCTGCTGTTTGGCCTGGGGCCCTGATAAGGGCCTCTATGTTGGAGATGGCTGTCACGGTAGAGAAGATCCCCACCCCCACACTGTCCATCGTTTTGGCTTTCAGCTTTGTATTTAATCCTCTTATTTTAAATTTATTTATTATTTATTTTATTTTTACAAAATTTATATGCCGCCCTTCTCCCCATGGGACTCAGGGCGGCTCACAGCATGTTAAAACAATATACAGAATTACCCCTTCTAAAAACCAATTAAAATCCAAATATTAGTGGCTGTGACTATTTAAAATCATTAAAAATTATCCCTATTTAAAATTCACCCTAGGTCAGGCCCGCTTGTTNGAGAGAGAGAGAGAGAGAGAGAGAGAGAGAGAGAGAGAGAGAGAGAGAGAGAGAGAGAGAGGCAGGCAGGCAGGCAGGCAGAGATGGCTGTAACATACTGGTTTGTCACATAGTGAGGGATTTATACAAGAATTCCCAAAAAATAATTGGGAGAAGGTTTTTTTTTAATAACATTCCTTTAAAAATAGCAGTGGTCAGTTTTAAACATTCCTGTAACTTAGTGTTTTAGAATATAGTGGGATGCCAATTTTCATGGCAACAATGGTAGCAAATGTCAGATTGAGAGAGGTTTTTTTGTGCAATATTTTTTGTAATGTTCACTCCTTGAACCAAACATTTACCTTCAGACAAGTGTAATATTATATAGGAAAGATAAATGTTAAAGAACTTCTAAAAGTTATCACCCAAGGCAAAGAAGGAATACTTATCCATGTATTGTTTATTGTATTTTGATTGTATATGTACTTATATCTAAGCCCAGTTAAAAAAAAATCTGTTATTCCCTGCAACACCAACCCTGTGAAGTAGGTTGAGCTGAGAGACAGTAATTTGCTCAGAGTCGCCCAGTGAGTTTCTGTGGCGGGAATCTAACTTAAGTAAAAGAAGCTTACCTGAACATTAAACATAGCAATATGGTGGAATTCACCACGACCACCTTGTTTAACTGGAACTGTCATAAAAAATGTATTGCCATCTTTAGAAAAAACTGGTTCCTCATTCTATAAAAAAAAAATCAGAGAAAGATATTCTTGTTAAAAACTACCTCATATATGCCATCATTTTTACGATGACACATTCAAATATTGAACACATTGAAGATAAACAATATAATATGGCATAAATATGGTTTTTATGCTTTTTGCTGTTTTTGCAATGGCTTATCATGGTGCATAAGGTGGGTGGCTACAGATGTCTTCTAAATGAATAAAGGGTCAAGATAATAAAGCACCAAAATAATTCAAGAGGCTATTCCGTTACTCAGAAATCTTTTCCTTTTCCTAAGTAGCAATTTTAAACTGCTTCTTTTTGCCTTCAGGTTAATGTATGGATGGCTTAAGGTAAGCAGAGAACAGAGTTCATATTCCCTGACCTCCATGCATTCTGACAGAGATCCAAAGGGAAACTGAACTTGCCTTCACAGGGACACAAGAAGGCTTTCTATGCAAGCTGGCTCCGGGAACATTCAGAGAGACCTCCTCACCTTATAGAAAATGCAAGTACAGGTCTCCTGACCTCCAGACAATTACTTAAAGAGGCCTAACCTCCTGGAATCCAGGACAGCTTTTTACAGTGAAATATAATTGCCATTAAACTTACATGACACTTCTGTCTTCCAGTAAGTTACTAGTGTGAATCATTGGCTATGTCTGTATTTTCTTAGGGATTGTGGATATCTGAAAATACAAATATAGTCCATGATAATTACTTCACACTTGTATGCATGTGTGTGGTCATGTGAGTGTGTGTATGAGAGAGAGAGAAAGAGAGAGAGTGCAGGTTGCCATACTAGTTCCAGTGGAAGAGGCTTTTGACTCTTTTGACTGGTGAGGTCTAGAAGAGCCTTTTCTTCTGTGGCCCCTCCTCTCTGATAGGGGCCTGCTATGTTGGAGATGGCTGTCACGGTAGAGAAGATCCCCACCCCCACACTGTCCATCGTTTTGGCTTTCGGCTTTGTATTTAATCCTCTTATTTTTCATTGCTTTGTATTATCTTTTTTTTTTTACCTTTTTATTATATTGTAATCTGCCCAGAGCAACTTAAAAATTTAATAAATAAATAAGGAAAGCTCTGCAGCAGAAAAAGCCCACTTCATAAGACCCACCAAATGTGGTTCCCTGACAGGACACACAATATGCTTTCCTTGCCAGATCCAATAGGGCGGGATGATATAATTGGGGACAGGTGAGCCCTTTGGTAATCCAGTGCCATAGCTGGATTTATGCCATAGCATAAAGCAGGGGTCTTCAAACTTGGCCCTTTTATGATGTGTGGACTTCAACTCCCAGAATTCCTCAGCCAGTCATGCTGGCTGAGGAATTCTGGGAGTTGAAGTCCACACGTCATAAAAGGGCCAAGTTTGAAAGACCCCTGGCATAAAGGGTTTTAAAGATTAAAGCCAGCACTTTGAATTGGACCTGGAAACAAACTGGCAATCCATGCAGCTTGCAGAACAGAAATGTAACCTGCATCTAGATGTTTTGGGATATTCTTCAAGGTCAGCCCCATGTTAAGTGCATTATAGTAATCCAATCTGAAGGTGACTAGGGCGTAAGTGACTATGAGCAGAGTCTGCCAGTTCAGGAATGAGCACAACCAAATTGACGCAAAGCTGTGCAAAATTTGTATTTTATAATATTATATACTGTATATAATATGAAATCTTATATACTTTTTACTTTATTTTAAAAATGGAAAGCTCATGAAAGGCTATTTTGCATTATCATCATGTATGCAAATAGTCAGATGGTTTCTTGTCCAATGCATTGAAATTCATTTTTATTAGACACTTGATTATGCATTTGTCTTTCAACAGACTTATTATGTATTGTTCTGAAGGGAAGAGAAGCTGAGGGTCTCTTCCCTTTGCTAATCTATGCAGACATGGACCAAAAGGCAGACTTTCTCTTTGTGGGTCTATTCTGTGGAATCCTATGCTCCCTTTTGGCTGGCTGATTGGATAACCATCTGTTAATACAGTAAATATATGTTATATTTGACGACCCTTAGTCTTATTCGACCCGTCATATTTGGACGTTTGTTCGTTTCTGGATATGACCTTAAAACAAGATACTACGGTTGTCTTTTTATGTTGATATCACTTCATGGTTCAGTAAATAAAAATATAAGACGACTTTAATGAGGGTTCGAAAATTCTTTAGTAACTATAAGTTCCAAATAATTAATATTACTATACCTGCTTAGCAAGCCAGACTTCAGATGTAAATTCATACTTCTAAAAACAACACAAAATGTAGTTAAGTATGCATAAATATCAAGCAGTTATTTATTGGAGAATTATATGCCAGATAGGTTGCATTTTGAATCTTAAAATTGATAGATTGATCAATTTTTATTTGCTATCACAATCTTTTCCAACCTGAGTGCTTTCCAGTTATATGGAGCAGTTCATAGAAATGCCAGCAATGAGCATATATGATAGATTATGGGGAGGCTGTGAAAAGACTGGAAGACAGAACAGAAAGAAACAATTGCAAGAAATGACAACTTAGATCAAGTGGATAGAGATCTAGGATGAAGCATTTCATTAAAAGAGACTCTGCCTTAATTAACTTAAACGAGAGAGTGAAAAAATTAACAGTACTTTAACAGAATAACAGAGTTGGAAGGGACCTTGTAGGTCATCTAGTCCAACCCCCTGCTCAAGCAAGAGACCCTGTACCATTTCTGACAAGTGGATGTTCAGTCTCTTCTTGAAAACCTCCAGTGATGAAGCACCCACAACCTCTGAGGGCAAGCTGTTCTTTGGGTTGATTGTTCTCACTGTCAGAAAAGTTCTCCTTATTTCTATGTTGAATCTCTCTTTCATCAGTTTCCATCCATTGTTCCTTGTCTGGCCTTTGGGAACTTTGGAAAATAAGTTGATCCCTTCTCTCTGTGACAGCCCCTCAAATATTGGAATACTGCTATCATGTTATCCCTAGTCCTTCTTTTAATTAAACTAGATATACCCAATTTCTGCAACCATTCTTCATATGTTGTAACATCCAGTCCCTTAATCATATTTGTTGCTCTTCTCTGACCTTTTTCTAAAGTCTCAACATCTTTTTTATAATGTGGTGACCAAAACTGGATGCAGAATTCCAGGTGTCGCCTTACTAAGGCTTTATAGAGCGGTACTAGTACCTCATGTGATCTTGATTGAATCCCTCTGTTAATGCAACTTAAGATTGCATTGGCTTTTTTTACTACTGCTGCAGACTGCTGGCTCATATTTGATTGATTGTCCACTAGGATTCCAAGATCCCTCTCACAGTTACTGCTATTAAGCCAGGTTTCACCTAATCTGTACATGTACTTTTGGTTTTTCTGGCCTAAGTGTAAGACCTTACTTTTCTCTACATTGAATTTCATTTTGTTAGATAGGGCCCAGTGTTCAAGTCTGTTGAAATCCATCTGGATCTTCAGCCTATCATCTATGGTGTTGGCTATTCCTGCCAGCTTAGTTTTATTTGAAAATTTTGATGACTTCACTGTCTATTCTCTCATCTAAGTCAGGGCTTTTCAACCTTTTCACCCATTGTACCACTTTTAGGATATGGCAACATCCGAGTACCACCAGTCGCCTAGCAAGGTGTCAAAAACGTGGATGACCCCCCCAAAAAAGGAAAAAAGTAATAAAGTACAGGTAGTCCTCAACTTACAACAGTTCGCTTAGTGACTGCTCAAAGTTACAATGACACTGAAAAAAGTGGCCCCCAAGCCACAGCTGAACAAGACACCTGCCTACCCACCCGGCGGTACTCTTCCTCCTGTTTCATTGTGAGCATTTCTGTTGAGGATTGGCAGCGGGGGTGGGAGTGTTTGGTTTTTATTCCTGTCTGCTGGGACACTGTGACCATCATAAATATGAATCAGTTGCCAAACATCTGAATGTAAATCACAAGACCCTGGAGATGCTGCAACATTCCAGCTGATCAGTGCTTCTTCTGGGCTCAGCAGAAGCACCAGGATCAGCACCAAGCTCCAGCTGGAGCCTGTCACTGATCCTGGCGCTTCCACTGAGCCCTGATAGTCCAGAAGAAGCGCTGATCAGCTGGAAAGTGACACTGATCCTGGCGCTTCCGTTGGGCCCTGACAGCCCTGCAGCTCCAGCCATCTCTCGCTCAGGCTTGTGCGGTGCTGCCACTGGTTCAGCTCATTCCCCTCCCCTGCTACCACTTTTCTAGGATGGTCGCGTACCACCTGCCAGGTGCCAATGTACCACAGGTGGTACCTGAACCACTGGTTGAAAAGCCCTGATCTAAGTCATTTATGGAGATAGTGAAGAGTACTGGGCTTAAGACAGAACCGTATGGTACCCTATTGCTTACTTCCCTCCATGTAGATGTAGTACCATTAAGGACCACTCACTGAGTATGGTTTGTCAGCCAGTTAATTTGTCTTAGTTTGAACTTATATCACACTAACCATGAGTGAGCGAGTGAATGAATTTTAGTTCTTGGTTCCTTGATCTTGCCCAGCTGTGTGGAGTTGGTCATCGTGATATCTGGCTACTTATAAAAGCCTAAATGGTTCGGTTGTTTGGTGTCTATAGTACCACCTGCATTGTATAATTCCAAATGACCCCCTAAATTAATGTTATTTTAAGGATGTTAAGTGCCCTCCATTCAGGGTGTGTGGGCTTCAAAGCAAAATACTTCATCCCTATGAAACAGCCTACTCCAAAAAATTTGAATGGCACCCTCTCTACTGCCTTTTAAAAAGACAGTGAAAACAGAACTATTTGGAAGGATATTCAATATGCATTGTTACTAAAAAAAAAAAAAAGACCCCTAAGGGTTATGATTGTTGTACTCCTGTTATAATTGAAGATAATGTTTTAACATATTTTTATGGGAGTATCACTGGAATTGGGGGCTTGCAAACATACAAATACCTCTGAAAATAGAAATCCATATATTGGAGAGCTCCAAGATTTCTGAAAGCATAATTATGAACTATTGCACATACTTAAATTAGCTGCAAAATTGCATACAGCTAAACTCTATTTGACAAAAAATGTACACAAAAGTGTAGGTTGTTCAACAATATTGTAAGTAGTAACCTCTTTCAAAGTTAATTTCCTGTTTGTTTGTTTGTTTTTAATTTGAACATGGGTTTCAACAGCATTTTAGGAAGGGGGAATCTGTAACTTCATAAAGGCTGATAATTTTATTCTCTTCCTGCAGCTTTTCATGATTCTAGTTTAAACCAGGGGCACTAGAAGAATTAAGAAAAATCATACTTTTTTAATTAAATAATTTATGAAGCTAAAGAAAAAAAATGAATTCTACAAACAAAACGCCAAACAACTATCAGGAAAAACAAACTTTTTTAAAAAAAAAAATACTGCATAGTATAGTATTTAATGTGTGCCTATATATTTGGATATGTGATGTTGATATAATGGAAGAAAACAAATGATTATCAAGAAATATCCACTTATGATACTTTTGTAATGTAATGCAAATATGTATTATATATTTAACATAGTGTGAAGTTATATAGGAGTATCCCAACTTTTCATGTATTGTTAATGAGGATAAAATGCTTTGTGGGTTTGGTCCCTTTGAATCAGTGTTGATTCCTTGTGATTTCCTGAAGACATTCCTGAAGTTTTCTTGGTAAGATTTTCAGAAATGATTTTTTTACTGTCTTCTTCCTGGGGTTGAGAGAGAATTACTGGCCCAAGGCCACAGCTGGCTTTGTGCCTAAAGTTGGATTAGAACTCACAGTTGGTTTCTAGCGTGATGCCTTAGCCACTACACCAAACTGAGTCTCATTAAAACAGTATCCTGTTTTTAGATACAAAACCTAAAAAAAATTGAAATCTAAATTATTCAAAACAGGCTCTATAACAAAAGAATTGAAAAGAGCAAAATTAGAAAAAAGCACACAAAAAAAGATTGAAGTTAAAAAGAAATGAAAAGAAAATACACTCTCAAAAGAACACAGTAAGACTTCTTTCTAGCTAATACAGTGAAAATAATAAAATCATATTGATTCAAATTATCAGAGTCATTTTTTTTCAACTACAAATTAAACTGATCATATTGTCTGATTTTCTACAGGATAATACAAGAGCTGACCTTACTTGGTCAGTGTTTAGAGTCTGGTAGAACATCTGTATTATTTACTGATCAACAGAGGCAGGTTAAACAATTTGCTTAGACATAAATTACTAGTTTGCTATTAACTCTGCTGAAAAAGAGCACCTTGCTGTTGACAGTATTATGAGAATCTAGACTCATCTATTGTTATAATACCAGTAATTGCTGCTTCATCTCCTGGATAAGTGCTGCCAAATATCCTACGGAGAATTCAAACTGTTTCCTTACTCTGTTTAGCTTTGTCAAATAAAAAGAATTTTTGGAACTCAGAATAGTTTTGTCTACAGTGAGGTACTATATATTTAACACAAGATGTGTGTTAATCCACAGAAATGAGCTGAACATAAAATAAATCTCTAAAGCTTGTTCTATACACATAAGAGCCATTATTTTATTTATTTATTTTATTTATTTATAATTTGATTTGTATCAAATGTAAGCTTAAAAATGAACAAGAAGTATCATACCATACTACAGGCACCAGTGGTTGTTTCACACACTGTAAGGATGGATAGATTTTGAGGCCTGTTTAGCCACCTCACCACTGTCTTAGTGTTGCTCACCCACTTGACCATCGTTATATAATATTCTCTGCAACAGAAATAGATGTTAAAATACAGGAGTTACAAGTAGTTCATATCAATTGCTTTAAGATATACAAAACATTGAAAAATTGCTCTAGGCCCGTCATTCATATATTTAATACTCAACATCCTTCAAAATTGACTTTAACCTATTCAGAATATATAGAAGAATAACTTTCATACTGTTTTGATCACAATGGTTTGCCTTATAGTTTATCAGATTAAACAATACACAAACACACGGACTTAACCCTCAAGTCTATAAGCAAAATGCCAACATAGTGCCAGGAAAAACTAGAGATAGCATGGTTTAGTATTTAGGGAATTGAACTGTGGAGTGCATGGAAGATGAGGTGACCTTGGGCCGGTCACTTTCTCTTAGCCCAATCAACAGGATTGTCACTGTGGGTGGAAATTGAAGAATGGAGTATTATCAATGTCACCTTGAGCTTCTAATGAAAGATAGGACGTATGAACATAACAATAGCATACTATTATTCAATTTTTGGCTACATAAGAGAATCTACACATATTTATGGTTCAAGCCAGAGGTCCCCAACCTTTTGGGCACCAGGGACTGATTCCGTGGAGAGAGGTTTTTCCATGGGCCAGAGGGTGCATGGTTTGGTGTGTTGCCTGCATCTCGCAGATGGGGCTTTGCTTGTTTGTGCGGACCGGTTGCTGGCATGCCGCGGTCCGGTACTGGTCCACGGACCAGGGGTTGAGGACCCCTGGTTCAAGCTATTCCTTCTCCCTCTAAAAGTCCAATTAGATTGTCATACAGAATTAGTTATGTAGGGTAGTTTTCATTACCAGCTCTGCTGTCATTTAAACTTAGAAATACTTAAGTTCTTAGTTGAATACATGCAATAAAATTGTTGCCATTCTTAGAGATCCATAAGTATGGGACTCCCTGCATTTATATTTCCACTTACAAGAATATCAATTCACAGCAAAAGGTAAAAAAAAATATTTTAGAACAATACACCTGGATTTCTGATGACATTATGACATTTAACAATAATTTTGCCACATCACAACTCAAAATGTTTCCTTATTACTTAATATCTTGAAATAACTTGGTACTTTTCCATTATTTCAATTTGATGGTTACAACTGTGATTATTTACGGGTAGTCTCAACTTACAATCATTCATTTAGTGATTGCTGCACTGAAAAAAGTGACTTATGACTGGTCACGTGATAAAAAAATTGGGTGCTTGGTAAGTTATGTAATTACCAGTTTCAGTATCCCAAGGTCATGTAATCACCATCTGTAACCTTTCCAGCCGGCTTCTGACAAGGAAAGTCAATTGGAGAAGTCAGATTTGCTTAACAACTGCATGATTCCCTGACAAACTGCAGTGATTCGCTTAACAACTGTGGCATAAAATGTTGTAAAGTGGGATGCAATTCACTTAATCTTCCTTGCTTAGCAGCAGAAATTTTGGACTCCACTGTGGTTGTAAGTCAAGCACTACCTGTATTGTGATATATTTTTTTAACCTTTTTTTCTTTCTTATAAATTCTGGAGTCCTATCAAAAAAACAACAACCCAAAACCTTTAAACGTATCATTGACACATGCGTAATAAAATAAGCAGATACTAAACTCTAAAAAGAAAAGGGATTTGAATTATTATTCTGTAGATACATTTTATACTCCAATTAACCTTAAACAAATTGTATTACATCAATTTCACGTTTAGACATCACCTTCATACTGTCATTTGGTGCATCCAATATAACACTTAGTTCAACTGTTTTGTTTATTTGCGCCTGTGTGTGGGAGGAGGAGACTTTTGCCTAAAGTTCAAGTCTCTTGAGACATCAGGTACATGAAAGAGCAAGCAGAGGCACTTTTTCAAATTGTGCGGGGGCACAATTGCCTAGGTATCCCCTCATTGCCTTTCATGGTTACACATACCTTTTTCACATACATTTATATGCACAAAGGCTCTTCCCAGTCCTACCTCCTCAGCTGACCAACGTAGATCAGCTGAGGAATACGGGCAGTTTCTATGGTGATACAAATACTTCAAAGTTTCAACAATAGAAAGTGCATAAGAAGCATCCCTGTAAAAGGACTGCAAAACTGCTGCTTCAGAGGTTTCTCCTGGCTATTCTTGCCTGCATACTCTTTGAAAGCAGCCATTATGAATATGGGAAAAGAAATGGCTCATTAGACAACTCCTTGAAAAACATTGTATAACATCAACTTTTTTTTTTTTTGCTTTGTCCTGAGAAACAGTGTATTTGCTTGCAGTAGTGGAATAAAGAACAGGATTTATCTCTGAAATCTTGCAAATTGGAAGGGATTTTTTTCTTCTTCTCCTCTTGGTATGAATTGGAGACAGCCTGGGAAAAGGTTAGGACCAGGAACGAAAGGTGGTGGATTGACGATTTTATTTAGTTTTATTCGTTTATAACATAAAATGTGAAAATACAAAAGCAAATAGTAGGGGGCAACAGTAGAAAAAGGGAAAACAAAAAGAGTGTGAAGAAAGGGGGGGAATAAAAGGCATTGATTTCCGACTCTCTCTGTTGCAGTAAAATCAGACATTAAAATCAAATCTCAACTTTTTACATTTCTATAGTAGTAGGCACTAGCCATTTCTGTATCGGCAAATCAGTCTAATCGGTAAAACCCAAAATCACGATATCATTTTTTTCCACCTCAAGCACAAAGTCCAGAAGCGGTTTCCAAGTAGAAACAAAAGTACTTATGTTCTTTTCTTTTCTCAGCACAGTCAATTTGGCCATCTCTGCTAATTCCATCAGCTTTTGTAACTATTCGTCCATGAAAGGTGGTGGATTGAAAGAGGAAAGCCTGTGGGGCAGAGTTTTTTCATATTCGGGTCAGAGAACAGGTAGTTTTTGAACACAAGGGCAAGAAGGCTCTTCATGAATAAACAATAATAATAAAAGACTGGATGAATCTTTATTGAAGTAGTCAATTGTAGAAAAAAACCTGGGTTAATTTGTTGTTTAAAAGGAACCCTCCCCCTCCAAAAAAAACACCTTTGAATCCAACTGTTGATATATGCAGAATGTAAAACTTAGAAAATCTCACCAAATTTCCCACTGCAGTCTTGGTACCTGCTTGCTTTATTGCATTTACAGCACATATGTATGCAGCCTTGGCCGAATCTAAGTGTACTTTGAAGAGGAGCTGAGCAGTCTGTCTCTTCTGTAGAAAGTCTGACAGGAATAGTAGATGCTAAAGTTCAAGACAGAGGGGCAAGATGGAGAGGCAGTAGCCATAAATTGCCTGAAAGACATCCCTATTGAGGTATGTACTGAATGTTATGGGCAAATTTTGCAACCTTTCGATCCTACTGTCCTGCTGACATGAGATAGAGTACCTCAAGTATTGTTATAATTGATTCACATTTCCCAATAATTGATTTGATGGAAGATAACACAAAAATAAATGAATTGGAATGTTTAGAACCTGCAAGAGGTTATAATCCAAGATCATGTGACTAATTCCTTCTACCTAAAAACATGTTCTGGGAAACGTCTTGAGCTAACGAAAGGCCTTTGCACGGAATACAATAAACCATTTTGATACATAAATCTACAAAAATAGTTGTATAACCCTGTTGAGGAGGAACATAACAGAATCCATTGAAACAGAATTCCAAGGTCCAGAGAGGGAAGGGCGTGGCTGAAGTAAATTGACTGACTGTGCAAGAGTAGTCTTGGTCTGTCAACAGATATGGTAGGATGAAACATAGTTCTTGATATCTGCGCTCATCCTTAAGCCTCAGAACTCTGAGTGCCCAATGGAAACTTTTAAACACTCCCCTACGTCCAGCAATTTGATTGCCATGGTAGAGTTGTGGCATCTCTTCCTTGAGGGAAGAAGAACATGGTGTTTATGAAACAACTTACATAAGTCATAGAGGAGATTGTCTATATGTCATATGAATTTTATTGTTGCAAATAGGCTGATCCAACAGATGTACTGCCTATTTCCCTCCCCATAACCTTACAGAAGATCTATACTCAGGGAAGGGGCAAAATTGTTTGGCTTCCAGATTGTGATAGAGAGGGTTGAGCATGGAAGATCATATTCAGATTTTTGTGACAATTTATATGGTGATTTTTTTTAGACCCAGCAATATATGTGACATTAAATTTGAAATGGAGAAAAATGTGTCCACCTGATCTTGTAAGATATGATGGGTTGTGCTTTCTATAAGCGTTCCAAATTCTTCAGATTTATCTGTACTGGATTATTCCCTCCAAAAAATGTCTGTCATATTGGAATATTACTTTGGTAATAAGCAACTCTTTATTGAAAATGCCATTTATAATAAAGCAATTTATAATAAAATGCATAAAGCAGGAGATCTTCCCACACATTTTTGATGTTTGGAAAACGCCTCCTAATGTTGCATCTAATGTGTCTGTTTACACAACAAAAGGATGAGAAGGGACAGGATGTCTGATGACTGAAGAATGTCACTTGAGACAATTTGAACCTCTGTCCCTTTTTTAGCAGTTACCAGTGTTCTGGATCATGCAAAATCATGGAGAACATTTTCTAGAAACTTGCAAAGCCCATAAAAATAGTGGATATTCTTCGGACTTCTAGATGCTTGCAATAAGAATATGGACTGTACTTTTGCAGGATCCATCTGTATTCCCCCTATAGAGATCTAATAACACAAATAGTCCACTTGGAAATATCAAAAACACATTTCCACCTTTAGTAAAAAATATTATGTTTGAGGAGTCTCTATAAGTCATTAACACAAATCTTGTGTAAAAATGGAAACATCAGTATGCCATCCAAATCAGTGGCGTAGCGTGGGTTGTCAGCACCCGGGGCAAGGCACCCCCCCTCCACAGTGGGCGGCGTCGGCGACCCAGCGGCTCGGATCGGATTCGCACAGCCAGCACTGCAGAGAGAGTGAGTGAGCCAGGCAGGGGCAGAGAGCTGCGAGTGCGAGCGCGCCCCCCCAGATGTTGCGCCCGGTGCGGCCGGCCCCACCTGCAC